TAGTACAGCCAGAAAGCCATATTACAATTAGTTCCCCCCCTCCCGCACTGGTGAGGTCCTCCAATAAATGTTGAGGCAGGCACAGCCCAGGAAAAAGCCCACACAGCACGCACTACCTTAGTAGAGTCTCCAATGACCCTTGTCCAAGAAAAAGATGAAAGAAAACATCTTCTTTTACGAAATGTGCCTCTTTTGTTTGCGTCCTGTCACATTCTTCTTAGATTGTGTCCTGAATGAATTGAAAGGCGTCTTTTTGCGTTTTATTGACCTAGTGTACCCAGCAGGAAATATTACAATTAGACTGCCTTTCCCACTGGCCAGAATCTTCGGGCGCAGCCGCTACATGCCAACACTTCCAAGGGAAAATGCGGCACAGTGCAAACTTGTGATCAACCGAAAGGGAACTTGTAAGTTACATTTTTGAGGGTGAGGTAGAAGCATGGACCCTCACCCTCAAAAATGTAACTTACAATTTTTGAGTGCGTGCAGGCCGAACGAACACACACGAGGGTCAAAAATGTAACTTACAATTTTGACCCCTGTCTTGTGAGATGGAGGTATGTCAGACCTGTATGTTCAAATTTCACCGGTTTCCAAAACCTGCATTTTGACACACCCGAAATTGTAAATTACATTTTTGACCCCCCCGGGGGTAAGGTAGTGATATATAGTGCATGTATTTTTTTTTGCGGGGTCTTTGGTTGTAATGTTTTGCGATTTAAGCACTAACTTATATAATGGTAACCTCCTGTAAACCATGCATCAATAGAACAAAGCTATTTTTTGCCGGTCAGAAAAGTTTGGCGGAGAGTATGTACTATTATGTTTGGAACGCTGGAGTCCAGGGCATCGTGATTATCCGAGGTTCCCCAGTATAGAAGACGTCTCCGTGACAGAGCGCCCCCCCAAGTGAAAGCAAAGACAGTATGGGTACACATTGTCGGGCACACCGTGCCAGCTTTGCCATGTCAGAGGAGGCGGGCACAATCACCTTGCCAAGACCTTTCACCGACATATTTGGAAGTTCTGCCCGAAGTCCGTCCCCTTGAGGACCCACAATCCAAATGTGGACTTGCTGGTCAATGGTCGCTTGATGCCGTTTGCTTCCGTCATGGGGTGGGGTTCTCTGGCGCAAGCCTTTTGCAACACAGCCGCCGTAGACCCCTTTGAAGCGCAAATCAAACCTAGCAGAGCGCCGTCTGAAAGCGCTAGTGCGCGCAAGTTCTCTTGAAAAGGCGAGATATGGCCATGCCGGCAACCAGTTCAACTCGTTTGAGATGTGCCTTTGTGGTTCCGTTTCCTTTGTGAAAAAGCTCTGCAACATCTTAACAAACCTTTCGCGGCAAAGCGTATGCGGAAAGCTGCTGCGCGCATATCCCTAAAACTCCTACCTGTAGCGTGCCTTGTGCCCTGCTTTGCTTGCACTTTCCTTGCCACAAGTCACAAGAATTGATGGCCTGCAACCAATATTACAAACGTAGGTCTTTTTTGATGCGCTTGCATTTTCCTTGCAAGCTGGTGATAACAAATTCTGATTATACAAAAAGACTTTCCGTATGCGGGTTCTGAATTGAAAGTTTGCACTACACTCGAACGAAGGCATTTTCTGCATGCTTCTTAATTCACGGCTTGCAAACACAACCGAACACGTTTTTCCTTATGTGGGTTACTAATTGAAATCCAGCAAGCACAAGCGAATACATTTTCCTTATGCAGGTTCTTAGCTGAAGGCATGCAACCACAAACGAACATATTTTCCTTACCACCTAGGGCCACATTCCTTCGTGCTGCTCCCGCGCGCCGATATCTGGGGCCGTCTTCAGGCGCCGGCAAGGGTCGCACAAAGCCAGACGGAAGGATGGACACAACAGGTGAGTGCAAGCGTTTGAACGAAACCCTGGCGGCACTGCGGTCCCAAGTTGTTGGGTTTTTCTGTTTCTTTCGCCGTCCCACACCCATGGACACTGCCAGGCCTAGCGATGCTGGGTGACAGTGCGCGGGAAAGCGTACGAAGGCCCGGTGGCCCGGTGGTTGTCTGGCGCTTCCCCGTGGTGGCCCCCACCGACATAGAAGTCTGGGAGGCCGAGCTACCACAGCTTGCCACACGGACTTGACCCCTTGCCAGACAATGTGGTGATCTTGTCCGCCCGTGGAGAGGGCATCACCGCTCTGGCAGGCGGAGAGTACGACGGGGACAATTTGCTTCTGTCTGCCACAATGGCCTCCTAGTGGATTTCCTCCGCCAGACGGAGGCGTCGGTAGAGGCACTTGAAGTGGTGGCGCAGGTGAGTGTTGAGTGTAGAAGAGGATGCGCCCGTCACCGCGGAGACCGCGTGGCAGCGTATGCGGACTACACCTGCACGGTGCCGACGCCGAACGTGTGCGGCGCAGCCACGTTCATGGTGGAGCTGGTGCAGGAGAAAGAAAAGCGAGCAAAAGTGGTGGTCGGGGGAGGCGAAATTCGCATCGCTAAAAAACAGTGGGGGGGGCAAAGTCAGTGAGTGGAAACGAGGGACCGTCCGGAGCATCGTGACTGTTGGTGTCGCAGGAGTCCTTGTTGCAGTGTCGTGGCCGAAAGAGGGAGACAATGGCTGTCACAGCTAACCCACAAGGCCTATGACTGTCCGAAGAAGCACTCCTCTGCGAAGGTGTTGACGGAGTGCCGGAAGCGCTTGTGGAACCCTGATTTGTCATAGTGAGTGGGATTGGAGACGGCCTCGGTCTAGGTCTAGGTTTGTAAGTGCTATTTGACATTATTTTACAAAAGGCACAGTACAAGCAAAGCGTGAAGAATAACATAAAGGCAGCAGGCTGTTGGAAAAACAACCTTTGTTGCGGCAGGTGTGCAGGTACTTGACTTGCCAGCGTCTTGATTTTGGACAGAAGCAGATACCTCACATCACCTGGGCAACCTCTGTTCGAGTCATGTGCACAGTGTGCAGGTTCGCTGGTTGTTTCTCAGTTCTCTCGTTCTTCTTACATTTTGCTGATTTCCTGTCTTTGGCTTGCCTTCCCTCTTTTGCTGATTGATGTCTCCAGAATCCCTTTCTGATTGGCTTTTCTCCACAGAATACCCCAACCTATGATCACAGCTGTATTGCTGAATTCCCTATACTCAGAACCTCGCAAAAAAATGGATCTAAATTTCCAGCATTTACCTGTCGTTGTAGGTCTTAACAATGTGCGCTTTTGCCCGGAAGGCCTCTTGTGCGTACTTAGATCAGTATCAGATCTTAGTATTTTTGTTTTTTGCGGCTTTTCTGTTCAAGCTTTTTTCGCAATGTCCCCTCAGTCGGTTTTCTTTAGGCCATGACGCGCGCTTGCTTTGGCAATCTTTCTGCTGGTGCAATGGCCGCTTCCGCACGGCCTGCGGGCTGTCTCTCACACGGATGAACGGAAATCGCAAGCGTTCACGGCTCGGAACTCTGGGGAAAAATTGTGGTTGGCGTTGCGGATGCTAAGCGCAACCTTCTTAAAGAAGTTGGCGTCCAGCGGCAGCAAATTACCTTCCAAACCACTCGCACGATGCCCTAGCCCTCCTCTCAGCCAGGCAGAAAGACGCCCTACTGGCTCTACTGCCTGGAGTGCCATGAGCGGCGGTTTAGCAAGGCCACTTGCCTCACCACTTTGCTGATTCTTTTCGTCTTCTCCGAGCTTGCAGGACGGGCGGTGTCGCAACCGGTTCCCGCCACCAAGCCCACAGGCCTGCGCAATCTGGTCACCCTTGCCATCTGCATACATTTTTTTGCTTTCAGGAGCGAGAGGCTTCGCCTCCACCTCCTTGCCCAAGGCCTCTGCTTAGGCGTCACTTTTGAATTTGTAGTTGATTATAAGTATGGTTACAAAATCTACAAAAACTATTTCATAATTTTTGTAAATTCCAAAAAACTTGTCTTTTTAGCGTTTCCAAAATTATGTTTTTTGAGTTTTTTTGTGCTATGAAATGCAAAAGGCAGATTTTGAAGAATGGTGATTGCAAATATCTGTGACAGTGATTAAACTGTGAGCAAGCGCCATTTTGGTTGTTGCAAGCGTGCAAAGCCGACTTTGTGAGATATAACTGCACCTTTTGTGCTTCTTGGCAACGCAACCTTTCTCTGGCTTTTGAATTAGGAAAGGTCAGCCTTGGCTGTAAGTTTTTGTTTGTGCTTCTTGGGTTTGTTGCACTTGCTAATTTTCAGAAATAGTATCATAGCATAGTATGGATGTATATCTATGTAGCCTGACGGTCCTCCGCAGTTTGATTCCTCATGGCCTCATGCATTCAATATCCAGCAAATGGACGGTAATGACCGCATCTTTGAATGAGAAGAAATGTTCAATCATCCAACTGGAACTCAATAAAAACTGGTCATGGTAGAGGATGGTATGGGAACCGTATGGGGTGGTATGGGGATGGTATGGGGATACCTTGGGTGGTATGGGAATGGTATGGGGATGGTATGGGGATGGTATAGGGATGGTATAGGGATGGTATAGGGTGGTATGGGGTGGTATGGGGTGTTAGGGGGTGGTATGGGGTGGTTTTGGGTAATGACCCTAATTTTCAAGATTCACGGTAATGACCGTTTTAGAAGTGATCTTGCCAAAGTACTGTTCAATGGGTAAAGACACCGGCTTCTCTTCGTCCCCCATATCTGAAGGTGCCTTCGAGCTGAAATCCGAACCCCCTGACTATAAACCAAATGCCACGGTCAATGTCAACCTTCGGTAACGACCGACAATCGGTAATGACCGAAATATGAAAAGCAAAACCCAAGAATCTTCAGTATATATATACAGGATGTGATATGTGCACATTGACAGGTACGTTTCATATTTAGACCAAAAGAAATACAATATGTATCCAGAAAACGTACGGCTACATAGATATCATAATTTCGTAGTTTCAATCAAGAATTATACGGCTTTATGCATGCAAATTTCCACACGCTGCAAGTGCTGCCAAAGCAGTCTCCAAACGTGGTTTTTGTAAATCTTTGTAAATTCTCTGTAAGTCCTTTTTCAAACTTACATAACTTTCGTAAGTATGACTTATAAGTATTTACAAATCAAAAAGTGACACCTAAGTGACTTGAGCCAAACTGTCCCAACTGCAACTGCGCCACAGACTGATGCCCATGCGCAGGTTGCGACGTCAACCGCTGAGGGGCATTCTCCGCGCCCCTGGCGAGAGGCAGTGCCACGCATTCGTTCAACAACGCTCCTGTAAGACTTGCCGGTGCCAGGCCTCCAGACAACCGCCGCGTGCACCTTTCAGAAGACCCAGTGCAGGAAAAGGCGCCGGCGATGATACTTCTTGCTGATGCGCGCCCCTTGTATGCGCTACCCGCTTTCCGTCAGGTGGTGCAAAACTACAAGGCGCACCCACTGTGGCCCCGGCACGGATGTCGAGTGCGACATCTGCAGAACGTCCTGGAAAGTGGAATGGGGGAGCGGAGCTGGAGCTTGCGCAATTGCAGCAAGCCTGCGAAGTTTTCGCGGAAGACAGGGGGTTGTTGCTTGAGCCAAGGTCTCTGGGGGATTGCGCATTTCCATTTTGCTGTCCTGCGAGCAACGCAAAAGCGTGTGTTATACCGAAAACAAGATTTGAGTCCGCGTGGTCAAATCAAAAGCCGAAAGGGGCACCCTAACTGACAACCGCACACTTGCCTCATGCATTGCCGCGACAAGTTCAATGGAACGCGAATATGTATTCACACCCGCTTAAAAGAATTGTGCATTTTGTTTGTCTCGACTTTAACTTTCCAGATGGAAAACGACTCAAACGACATTCCGCCGATGTCCGCATGCAACGAAAGGTTGCAAGTAGACATGAAAACCATTTTCTCGTCGGGGGGTCTCAATTAAAGGTATACAATACAAACGACAATACTTTGCTTTTGTGGGTCCTTTTTTTGAAAGTTTGCAAAAAACAAACGAGTACTACTTTGTCCTGGGTTCTTACTTGAAAGTTTGTATCAACAAACGAAAGCAATTTCTCCATGTGGGTTGTCGGGTGACTGTTTGCAAACGCATATTTTTTTTTTAAAATTTTGTGGGCTCGTAACTCAATGCTTGCAACCGCAACAAAATACAAACAAAAATTCTGCAAACGCAAACGAAAACATTTCCCTTATGTGAGTTGTACACTTGAACGTTGGCACATACAAATGAATAACACATTTTCTTTATGCAAGTTCTTAATTGAATGTTTGCAATTACAAACGAACACATGTTTTATGTAGGCTCTAAATTGAAAGCTTGCAACTACAAATGAATACATATTCCTTTATGTGGGTTGAAGGTTTGCAAACACAAACGAATACTGTTTGGTTATGCGGGGTTCCTCATTGAAGGCTTGCAAGCAAAAACACGTTCCTTGTGTGGGTTCTCACTTGACGGCTTGCAAATTGAAGCATCAAATGCATTTTTCCTCTTGCGGGTTCTTAATCTAGTCTAGCAGTTCTGACCCCTGTCATTGCCAAAAATTTATTTGGCAGAAAGGGCAGCGGGCAGCATGTTCCGTGGGGCAGCTGTGCTGTACTTTGAGTGGGCAATCAGGCTCATTCACTCCAGAGCAGAACGCACTAGACGGGACCGGGGGTTCCAGACAGTCTAGTTCATGGAAAGACATTGCCAAAATGATTTGCCATGGGCAGATTTGGCTCCATGTTAGTGAGCGAAACATTGAGGGTAACAAGTTTGGACGACGAATCCGGACTTCTCGTGAAGTCACATCAGTTTTTTTTGGACGTGTGGGAGCTTATAAGGGTACAGAGTCCCATGTTTTGCAGGTGTGTTTTGCAGGTGTGCCACTGGCAGCCTTTAAAAGGAAATGTATGAACAGTCCAATTGTACAATGAACCAGCCTGGTGTGGCACTTTGACTTTGCTGCCCGCCCTGTGTTGAAGGACAAGTCTGGCCCTGCTGTGGTGGAGATGGTGAAGGCCTTTGCCGAGCAGCATGGGACATTGAAACCAAGTTTCCTTGAACTGAAAGTGGTGCCGGATGACGAAGAAACGATTTTCACTGCTTTGAATCTCGTTCCACAGCTTGCTCGATGGCTGTGTGCAATCGCTGCAGATCTAACAGGGTCCGTTCAAAGGGTCGTGAATTGTGACATTGAGGGGGGCGAAGACAATGGGAGTACTACAAGGTTCACTTGCTAGCAACTATAATTCAAACCAGTTGATCGATGTTGATCTAATTGCTCCATTTTGTTCGCATGTGTTTGTTTCAACCATTTTTTACACCCTCTTGCAGTTCCAAGGAGTTCCTGGAGCAATTCCGGCAGCTGCGACGTGGTGCTCACCACCGGCGGCACTGGCTTCGGCCCGCGCGATGTCACGCCGGAGGCCACGCGGCGGCTGCTGGCGAAGCCGGCAGAGAACTTGAGCAGGGCGATGGCCTGGCAGACCTCCTTGCAGGTCGGGGGCCTGGAGCAGGTCGAACAAGTCGAATGGAGGGTTGAAGTTTCGGGTCAGGGATGGTTGGAGGATCTTTTGGCACGTGTTTGCAAGCTAAACTGGCCCGTTATGTCCAGCATTTGAGTTGGGTGTCTCCTATGGGTTTGGATGGGTTTTTGCCCATGGGTTTGGGTTTTGGTGGTGGTGGTGGTGGAGTTTTGGATGGGTTGTGGGTGCTAGCTGGGGTGAGGAGTAGGGTTGGGTGGCGACTTGGCGAAACCTACCGGCACATCCTTTGGCGGCCTTGATTCTTAGGACGCTGACCCTTGATTTTACTATGTTTGACCTTCTCCACTATAGCATGATTATGGGATAATCGCAGCCATGCTCAGTGGCTTACCTACTGCAAACCGTAGATGTTTTCTACTTTAAATATAACGAAGATCAATATGCGAACAACCACCCAGTGGCCGCCAGTGCTGTCGGCAAAATCCCACCCACCATCTAAATCTAGATGAACTCCCATAGGAGCCTCGCAGCATTCTGTCGCGTGGTGCACCTCGGCGGAAGCGGCCGCGGCGTGCTGAACTCTAAACACATCTAAACACTAACGTGGTTATTTGAAGGATCGGGCACCTATTCCAAGCGCCTTCTTCTGGAAACAAAAACAGCTCTTCAGACATCTTCAGACTAGAGAAATCGATGCAAATCGTATATTTGTTTGGCTCCTTGAAAGTTTTCCGTGGTTCTTCTTTCGAGTGAACATGAAGTTGACCGAAGCACAGCCCATGTGGAGTTGGCAGCAGGACTTACCAGCGGGGCTTTGCAAACCTTGTCAACTCTACTTTAAAGCTGGGGATCCACCAACTTGTTTAGTTATCTAGCCAAGGGCATGCAGACGATGGAGATGTGTGTTTTGCCCAGATGACCTCAAATTCCTGATCATTCCTCAAGCAGATTCTGAACACTCAGGGGGTGATTTGGGATGAATGTATAGATTCCCAGAACCGTAGATGTCCCAAACCAGACACCAGCACTGAGAACTGCAAGTCTGGCTCTTGAAGGGGCCACCTCGTTCGCCCTCAAGGTCTGTGGACTCACCAAGGACAAGGCACCGCCGGGCAGGGCACCGCCGGGGTACGAAATGAATGCCAATGACTTTCTCAACGATGTTTTGCCGAGAGGCTTCTTTGAATCCACACTTTCCCATGCTTCACCAGTGACTAGTGACTTCTGGTCCCCCTCGACCTGGGACCCCAACATCGACCAACCATTTTTGCAGTGCTACGAGAAAGAACCAACATGTCATGTCGACATGGCTATTCCATGCGCATGAAGGATCAGGCGCCGAAGGACTGAGTTCCTTGCAGCGCCGTCGTGCGGTCTTCCGAAGGATCCAAGTCATAGACACCGGTCATGTGGAAGCGGGTTCCTTCGGTCATGTTCCTTCGATCAGGTTTCCGACAGATCCAAAACACAAATCAGGCAAGTGAACCTATCCGGCTTGCCAAGGAACATTGTTTTCCTATGTTTTCCTGATAAGGCCCATGTTTCGCCTTCGTTTCCTTTGAGTCGTTTGCAGCTTGGTCTTTACATTTCTCGGATGTGACCAGGCCCATCCCAGGCATGAGACGATTCGTCCCAACACTTGCCCAAGACCCCCAGCCGCCGCTCAAGACCCCCCAGCCGCGCCGAGCGCCGCGGCTGGCTCTGGCGCCCAGGTCTTAATCGTGAACCTTCCTGGGCACCCGAACGCCGTCCGGCAGTGCCTTGCGGTGCTCCTGCCAGTGCTGCCACACCTACTGAGAATGGCAAGTGGATGAGTTGTTGGCTGCAGAAAATGGGCCACTGAGACCAGTTGTTGGGCTAATGCTGCGGCGCACTGGGAAGCATGCATCATTTGCCAGCCTGGCACCTAGAATTTGGCAATCCTCAGCGGCTAAGTGGGCTCTTTCTATCTGGATAAATCGCAATTTCTGGGAGGATGATTTTAAGGGGGG